TGTCAGTGAACCTTGTGAGTTATAATGGAGGCGAATTTTGTAACGTTACCTTTGTTAAATGCTGTTTTTGGCTTCATATGTGGAGGAAAAGACCACTAGCGGCTAGGCTAATTTATACTATGTAAATGTTGTAGAATAAAGACACTCAAAACACACAGGATTGGACATTTGAGGGTATTACTTGCGAGAAAACCAAAGAATTAGTACATCATGACAATTTATAGTGTCTGACAAAGCTTTCCAATATACATTTAAAGGTGTTTCCTGTCACTTAAGCTACTGTTTATTGTGTTATTCAGACAACCAGCTCCGAGAACAATTGCTTCTCCTCACATAACCAAATTTGGCCATAATCATGCCAGATCATTTAGCTCAAGTCACATCACGATAATAAATAAGTTTCTGTCAGGTCATACACTATATAAAATCACGAAAGTTTATGCTAGTAACGTTAGCATGTTGTATTTTTGGGGAAAACAATGTTAGTTTTGCCTTTGAACCTTGTGAGTTATAATAGAGCCATAATTTGTACTTTTATTTAATATTTTAGCTATTAATCTATGCTTTATGTGTGTTTAAGGTGTGTTTTGAATAATTTAAACTTTACTGCACTTCACAGACACTCAACACTGGAATGGAAACTCCACCGATATCTAGCATTTTGAAGGTGTATTTGCAGAGCAACAAATAGACAGCACTGCACAAGTGATGATTACAATGATTACAAAAGCAGAGGCCACTTGCTTAAGCTACGGTGTAGGCTCTACGTACAGCCTATAGACAACTATAATTCAGCTATAATAAGTGACGCTGCAGTTACAAACAATAAACTTTATTTATTTAGCACCATTCATACAAGAAATGCAGCATACAGTGCTTTACAATAAAGACATTAAAAGCACTGAGTGCTTCACATGAATAATGGACATTAAACAGACAAAGAAGGCAATTCAATATTAAAGGACATTTAAAAATAATTCAAAACATGGATTAACTGATTCTACAATTTTCATTTAAAAGTGGTGGTGATTTGAGATCCTATTAATCAAAATCTCATATAGCATTTCTTCTTGTGTCACCTTTTAGACCTTCAGACGTCTTTAACAATCAGAGCCTATAATTCTGAACGGGCAAAGACTCAGTCTTCTCTAGAGTTAATCTCACTGCAGGTATTGTCTGTGCCGGGAACAGCCCACACCTGCCCCAAAATCTATTACCGCCCAGTTGCAGTCTGTCAAATCCATCCTTTGTTGGCTAAAAGTGATGGATAGTCACTATAGGTGATAGCATGAATGCACACTTGACCAAACTGACTAATACAAAAAGAAAAAAAATGAGTCTGAACACTGACAATTCCAGAAACACCATTTCTTGTATAGACTCACATGTGAAGCCATGGATCCACCTCAGCCGCAGTTTCTCTGTGCTGAAATACTTTTCCACAACCAATAAGTCAAAGGGGTGCAGTGAAGGAGTACTCAAGCACATTAAGGACTGTGGGAGTATGTCAGACGTATCTGTATAATGGGATCCATGCGGAATCTATAGAGAATGGATTAAATAACATGTACATAATAAGGGCAATGTAATGCTATCTAAATATGTTTTTGTTGAGAGTTGTTGGTTCAGCTATGGTTATCTGGCAGCTGCAGGCTATTATATATATATATAGAAAGGGGCCGTGAATTATATTAATGTTACCATTTAATATACTGTTACAGAGTTAAAGCTGAAAATAATCTGCAGGTCACAATTAAAATGTCTGCAAAGTGACAGAACAGCTTTAAAGAATTTAGACAGCTTGTGTCTGTCATTCATAAAATACAGAAAAATTTATAAAGTGGAGGTCAGTGGAAGTCCCTGAATTTTAATCTTGTTTTTGGCACCACTGAGTACGCTGCTGCTGTGTGTTCTGTTTTGAAATGTATTTCAAAGCTCCTTCCACTGGTAGCCTTTCTGATAGATCTCTTCTAACAAAGACGCCACACTGCAGCAAGAACCTGCTTCAGCTTGTGAAGGTCACATGAGTCTGGAAACCGAGGGAAAGTGTGACGTCAAACCCTACCTATCCCCAGGATTGGTATATTTGTAGGTATGCAGAACAAATGTACTGCAGCCCAAAGTTCCTGGAACAAGATAACAGAGCAGGAACACAGCACATGGTGCAGGCCTGTCGCTGCTGGAGAGCTGTCCGTGGTGCTGAGAGCATGGCGAGAAATAATAAGGAGGCAAAGCAAAGATGCTTTGGTACTGAAGGAACAGAACAAGTGGAGAGCAATATCATATAATCTACATCAGATTTAATATTCCACTGCCTTAATTTGACATTTAAATATGTAGATCTGGTGGATTTCTGTCATGTCTTGGTGGCACATTGCACTTTCCAATCTAATATCAGTGCCCTGAGGTGAACATGCATTGAACAGGTGAAGGAACATAAGAGCAGGGGGCGCTGACAATACTCCAGTGTGTTATTGGATTTGGGAATTAGGGTCAGTCCATCATGAGACCTGAATAAAGATTTTACATAAAGCTGTTTTAATAAGCTGTACAGTCACATGTCATTTATAATCAGATATATATTTTTGTAGTTATATTGATTTATGTAAATGTGTGTGAAATCTGAAAGACAAGTAGTGAAAGTTGATTTTAGTTAAAGGTCCAAAGTGGAGGATTTGAGGGGATATGTTCACAAAAATGGAGCATAACATAATAGCTATGTTTTCATTAGTTCATAATCACCCTGAAAATAAGAATCATCGTGGTTTTGTTGCCTCAGAATGGGACATTTGTATCTACATAGGGTGAGGGTCCACGCTGTCTGCCATGTTGCACTCCCAGTTTCTACAGTAGCCCAGAATGGACAAACCAAATACTGGCTCTTGAGCAAGCCATTCATGTTTTTGCATTGGCCACTGTTGTTCCCCTCCATGATGATTGAAACAGCATTGAGAAAACACAGATTTTTAACATGAGACTGATTTATTCAGTGTTTTTACCAAATTATATCACTAGGTCCATTTGTTTTGTAGAGGAAGAGACCTCTGCAGATAATTCGGCTCCCTGTAAAAACCTCCTGAATGTCTCGATTTAAAGCTATAAGAGAAAAAATATGAGCACACACAAGCAGGTGCTGAGCTAGCAGGCCATCTGCGACAGTGTTGGGGTAGCACTAACTTGTAACGTAAAAGTGCCTTGTTTAGTGTTTTTACCTGTTTTAATCACCTAATACATTTGTTTTGGAGAAAGAGACCTCTGCGGATGATTCGGCTCCTGGTAAAGAATCCTTACTGGGAGTTTACACTCAGCACATGGGAGAAGTTTCAGTGGTTGCGATCTGCAACCCACACTGCTAGATGCCACTAAATCCTACACACTGCTCCGTTAAATGCACAAAATAGTACCTTAAAAGTGTATTAATAATATTAGCTACTAGATGTCCCACTCCTCCTACCCCCTTCCATTGCTTTCATGTCACAACACCATAGCACAAGTGGTTGCCAGTACATTGCACAACCTGCATGCGTCATGGTCTAGTGGACTGAGATTTAACCAGACTTAGTCATGTTCCATGCAGAATCTTTCGTGGTAGAGTAATGAATTAATTTAGTATTTAGCTGTAGATTTACCTTACATAGTTTGGTAGTATTTCAAGAGTTCTTCCCTTATTGGTTTAATATGTCTTCGTATCTGGGAGGGAGAGGTGCAGGAGTGTGAGCTCCACACCAGGGACAGGAGTCCGCCTGCACAAACAATGGGCTAATACCTAATGGTTATTAAGGGGTTAAACAACAGAGTTGAGTCGTTTCAGTGTCAGTGTGAGTTTGTTGGGACTGTTACTGGCTTAGTCAGATGTTGTCGATGTTAGCTCGTGCTAACCAGGCTACTGAAGGCATGACCTGTCCTACCCTCCCTTCTGATTGTCTAGTACTCGTTAGCTTCATTGGTTGGATTGGTTAGGTTGGGACAAGAGGATTGACATTGGTTAGGGTTTAGGTAAGAGTGTCAGGGTACTCAAGTCAGAGGCAGAGTAAGGTACAGTCAAGTGGGTCATGTCTTTGTTATAGGAAACGCAAATTCTCAAACCGGGGGACATTGGACTGGCTGTTTGCCCCAAGTGGTAACTACAAAGACACGGATACCATGTGATACCAACATTGTTATATTATGATTCACAAGCCTTGTTAGAAGCAACAACCAAACATCAGACATTTTACACAGAGGTAAAGAAAACATTCATTTTATTTCACACCTTTTAAAAGTTCTGTGGTTGGAGTATTTAAAAAAACCCAAGGGTAATTCAAGCAATTTACTTTAAAATTAATTTAATGTTACACTCATATTTCTGTCATGACAGTTGAGTAAAGTGCAAACGGGATCTTGTGACTACACATGAGACTGCTACAGGTGTATTAAATCTTTTGCCTCTTCTCATTTTATAATATCGATTCACATTTCTATTTATGATCCCTCGACAATGTTCTGCTTTCATGCTGTCCTTTATTATGCAACCATTTTCAAAATCTGCGGTCTGGTCCTTTATGAGTTCAGACATCAACCAATCAGTTAAGCCAATCTCTAACCTTTGTGCTCTTTTTAAGCACCAGTCAGCTGTTTTTATATCTTGCAGCACAAGACGCCATTTCCTCCAGCCATTCACATCAGTAGTCCTGAAATCACACGATGGTGGCTCAGGGGAAATTAATTTAGCCTCAAATTGAGTCCACGCCAAAGTCTGATTCATGTTTACTTGAACTTTAAACCTGCAAAGCTTTGACCTATGTTCAAAGAGCTAAACGGACTTTGATTATAGTGCAGAGAACAAATTTGCACCAAACTTCAGACTAAGACATGATGATGTTCATTTTTTGTAACAGATCTGGAAAAAATAAATCTCAAAAATGTCTCACTCTGGCCTTGAACTTCATCTAATAAGGTTTTTTTTTCCTGCCTCCATGATGTCCAGCTTTGTCTCACACATGCTCATGTCTTTCTCACAGACAGTAATTTCCTGTTGGGTAACGCCCAGGGCCACCGCGGCTATCCCATCGTCTACTGCTCAGACGGCTTCTGCGAACTGACCGGCTTCACAAGGACTGAGGTGATGCAGAAGAACTGCAGCTGCCGCTTCCTGCACGGGGCCGACACCAGCGAGCACGTGGCCCAGCAGATGGAGAAGGCGCTGGAGGGCCGTGAGGAGTACCAGGCTGAGGTCCACTTCTACAAGAAGAATGGTGGGTGCACGGCAAAGAGGATAGGGAAGAGAGAGCCTAGATGCGTTTACATAGTAGCTTTAATTTAGAAGTGAAATGGTTATGTGGCAATTAACATACCTTTCATCTTGTGTTCAGTTGATCAAATTCTTCTATTAAAGGTTCTGTATACGTTTCACCAGTGGGGGTTTTTTAATTGCCAATGGATGAGAAAGTTGTAGCCTAACGTCTCTTAAAAGACCTTCCCCAACTTCCTCGGTTGCATCGAGCAGTTTGTGGACTGACTTCTATGTAAAAGACTCAGGCCAAATTTTCTAGAATAATCTGGAAAATGACATTGTGCATGTTCCTGAGTGCCTTGCTCCCTTCAGCTCCGCCTCAGTGCTTACAGTGTGCAACAGTAGCTAACGTTACGTTAGCTAAGAAATGGAGTCCATTAACGTCAGCGAACGACCAGCACCCACCACAACTCAGAGTCCACACATGCTGTGTATCAGTTATATTTTGAAGCAGCAGCCCAGCAGAGAATGACCTTCACTTTGCGCCTTGTAGCAACTCGAATTCAGTCAAAGCAAGACTGAGCACCTGAGTGCTGGGGATCTGATCCTGGACCACCCTAAGTTCTTGCCCGATCAGCACACTTCTGTTGCTGCTGTTAAACAGATCAGACCCTGCACTGCTGCTGGCCACCACCCTGTTACAAACTCAGCAGCTAAGGTTTGAGCTGCCATCCGCTCTTGTTTCAGGAAGTAGTGTCCTAGCGGTGGGAAGTGAGGCAGAGGGTTCGTGAGCTGTGCTAGCTAGCAAATTATTGTCTCATTTGTGGTCTGATAAAAAGTAAACCCATCAAATTCAGTGCCCCATATCACAATTTCAGTGTCCCCACGGTTACTTTCCATTAGCTCACTTGCTAACGCAAAGGGATTGCAAGCTAGCTAACGTAACAAAATACTGTCTTGAGTGATTCATGTCATTCAAGTCATTCAGACTTCAGGGCTGATCTGGCTGGTAAACTGGTTATTTTGCTGTTTGCAAATTACTTTATCAGCTAACGTGATACTTTATCAGCTAACGTTACGAGGCAACAGACAGCAAATCACTACGTAGCTTAGTTACAGCTAGCTGGCTACCTTAGCTTGCTTGCTCACTAACATTATTGCTAGCAAAATTCTATCTGAGTGGATATGCCAGTTGGCTAGCTTACCAGATGATTCTCTAGCTAATGATACTAATTTGTGTTTTATAACAAACAAGCCAACAATTAAAGATGTAACGGTAGGCCTACGAGGCGCTTTTTACTAGCCAAGAGCGATGCAGTTGCGGCCTAATCATACCCTGAGCTGATGTTAGCCAGCTAGCTGTAACTTAGCTATGCTACATAGTTACTTGTAAAGTAAGCCGATAATGTAATTTGTAAATGGTTATCTTTAGAATCATGGAGCCAACAGTCCTAATGAGATACAGGGACATTGCGGATAGTAATGTTACTCTAAATAAGATTGCAATTTATTTCCAGCCTATCAACGTAATAACAATCAGTCTTGTGTTTGTCTGTTTTGGCGGATGCCCAGGTGCTCATTCACAGCTATGGAGCGCGAACACCAAAGCACGAAGATGCTGACTGCATTCACTTAACGGCCTCAGAGAGAGGTGTCACTAATTATTTTCTCAAAATTACGTACAGAACCTTTAACTGGGGAAATGACAAAACTTCGTCTTGACTCAAATTCCGGTTTGATCTTAAGTTGAGTTATTGGGGGTGACAATTAGCCTAAATTGTGCAATTTGTTTTTGTTTCCAACATTATGGGGAACACATTTCTTTTTAGCTGAGAGTTGAACATTTGTGGCTGAATTATGAATCTTCACAGTGATCCCCAAGTTTAAATACAGCAGGTCAGCAGTGCAATACATGCTTTTTTGCAAAGTTAGCGCTCATTATTATTAATACAAACCCATCAGAGTGAGTGGAAAATCTGCAGTCGGTTCATTTTTGTGATCCGTTCAACATGAGTGCAAAGGGTGCTAGAAGGAGTGAACTTGTGTGGTGGTATAACAAGCTCAAAGTCTGTCATGAATACACATCTCCAATCATACTTTCGTCATGTAGCGAATGCAGAGGACAAAGTACTGTACGCACAGTGTTTATTACTGTAGCTTAAATCCATTCCCTGCTGACTGCTAGCTAATCCCTCTGATGAAGTCTCGGGCTCAAAGTACGATGTCATGCATGAAAAGAGAACATACAACCCTGTTTAAGCCTCTCTGATCGGAGACCCAAACCTGCACTCTCCAAGTGTGTGAACTGCTAATAACATTGATGGGTTACCAAATCTGCTCTGCGGTTGAAAAAAGTCTTGTCATCTTTGTGTTTTTTACAATACAGTAAGGAAGTAACAGTAACACAGTGCCAGTGCCAACTAACAAAAGAAAAGACATGATAATTTTGTTAAGTAATATGGTGCCGTTTCAGACACAAGAGTGACAGAAAAGGAACAGAGAACAAAGACAGTGAAAATGAAAGAGAGGGAATTAAATTTTAAAGCTATAATCCAAATGGCAGATATTCATGACTGGTACTGTATTAGCAGGATTTTCATGATAAAGGCAGACACTTAAGGAATTCAGTAGACAGTAGACACACACACACAGTAGACAGTAGACACACACACACACACACACACACACTGTCCACTTTGAAAGAAGGATTTAGATCCTTTACTTATACAAATGTACTAATACCACACTGTGAAAATGCTCTGTTACATATATTAAAACTAAAAGTACTCAATGCAGAAAAATGTCCTATGTGACTTTTATACTGTCATATAGCAATATCACTGATGTAGGATAAAGGAAAGGAAGGAAAAATGCCACAGCATTTGTTCTACTTTCAAATTATTAGATCACATGGAAAATCACACATGGATTTTCACTCAAACTTTATTATTTAAAAACTGAAAATCAACTATAATCTCTTCAACGTCAGACTCTAATACTGAGGTTTTTTAGCAAAAGTGCATCGAGTTGTGTGAGGATTTCTAAACGGATGCTTTGATACTGTTTTCTGTTGTTTAACGTGGTTCCCAATCAATCAGTATATCAGTATGTTCACTGTTTCTCATGGAGGCATGCAGGAAATGTTTTCTACACAAATTCAATGTAACATGGCATGACTAATTGATTTAAATGGTCATTTTGTAGGGGAAAAACTTATTTAATTTATAATAAAACATATCATTTATAAGCTCTGTATGTTATTAATGTAAAAATTTAACTTGTAAAGTAACTAGTAATTAAAGCTGTCAAACAATTGCACAAACTACAATTATTTCTCTCTGAGATGTGGTGGAGTATATAAAGGAAAATAGTGTCATTAAAAGAAATGACTCAAGTTAAGTAAAAAAAAAAAAAACACCCCAAATTTGTACCTAAAGGTCTGGTGTGTAGGATTTAGTGACATATGGTGGCTAAAGAGAAACCAAAGATTTGCAAGGAGACAAAACCGTTTTAGAATGTTGCAGAGAAAAGTTGCAGTGGTGTGAACTGGCTGTCTGAATCAAGCCGGCTGATGGTGTCACCTGAAACTCCGCTGGTCAAATCGCATGCGGCTGGTTTTAGATCATAAAGCTCATCAACTGTTTCTACAGATGGTGTGTTCGCGTGTTTCTGTCCTCACCTGTGCCGGTGTCAGACAGTGGGTCACTGCTGCTGCTCGTTGTATGTGCTTATGCCCCCCACACACACATTCTCAATGACTAACTATGCTAATGCTAATGCTCGTTTTATGTTTTTCACCGATTCATCACTGCTACAAATGCACCTGTAGCCAGTATCTCACTATCACTATCCTCATTCATATTTTCAGAAGCTACAAATTATATTCAGCCACAAAATAAGCCTGAAAAGCTGGAAATCAGAACGGAAGTACAGAGAGTTGTTGCATGGAGATGATACACCATCTCATCTAGTTGCATTGGTGTGAACCGGCAGGTTTTTAGAACGTTGCAGAACGGCGCTTTGCAAGTAGTTGCCTGTTTCAACTCATTTAGTTGTGAATCTTTGGTCTGAATTGGGCTTAAGGTTTCAGGCTGCGACCAAGTGAGACTTCTCCCATGTGCCAAGTGTGTAGGAGAAGTACAGTGGCAGATGCAAAAATGCAAATGGCCCTATCTGGCGCCAGTGTTTGGTTTGTCCATTCTGGGCTACAGAAGAAACATGCTGATCTCTTATTTTCAGATAACAAAAACAAACAAAAAAAAATTTCAGGTTATTATAAACTAATGTAAACATACTTATTATATGATATTCCATTCTGCCAATATAGCCCCCCAAATCCTAGACACTTGACCTTTAAGTACAGTACTTGAGTAAATATACCTAGTTACATCCCATCATTGGCGCCTGCTGCTGCTTACAAGCACAAAACATACATAAATATCTCATGTTGTATATTTACACCCACAGCTTTGTGGCTAAACACCACCAAGACTGTTTTCTTCCTGTGTCTTACACACACACACACATACACACACTGGGGACACTATAAGCGATGTGAAACATCTGTTTTGTGGCAGAGCACAGTTTCTGCAGAGTTGCTAATGAGTGTACTGGGTTATGGCATGGTCTTGGATCTATGGTGCTCCCTCCCTGCCTGACTTGTTATAACCACCCCCCGACTTGATCTTTCTCTTTGTGCACAATCCTCCCGAACATGATCCATATCTAATTGGGGGGTTTATTTTTAGAAAGGCTATGTCATACTTGACAAGTATCAACAGACTCGGCAGACATGGTGAGAGCCGACATGACATGAGAAATCCCAGGCCCTGGCATCCAGAGCTGAAGTCATTAAGGAGATGCATAACATTTACACTGGATGTGTCTGTTTACTAAATGAAGATTTCTGATTTCGTTCCAGGTGTGGCCTTCTGGTGTCTGCTTGACATCGTGCCCATAAAGAACGAGAAGGGAGAGATGGTCCTCTTCCTGTTTTCATTCAAGGACATCACTGACACCTATGGAAGGGGCCACCACAACAGCAAGAAGGAGGGTAGGCTACATGCCCTGCTTACAAAATAAAACTCCTTTTATTTGCTCACTTTGAGGATTGATTTACGAGCGGGTCATCCTCTGGCCCCCAGCTTTCATTTTCTCTGTGCACTCTTGTTCATCACTGTCACATTCTGCCCTGCAGTTTTTGTTTGGGCTGGCATTCGTTCACTGAACTCAGACAATGTTTTTGCAATGGGGAGTTTGATTTGGGTAGCGGTGTGTTTTCAAGTGGAACCTGGACACAGTCTGTCGCAAATACCAAACAGCATGCCAGGGGAAATCATCATGTTAAAATGCAATCAAAAGAAAGTCAAGTAGAAATCAGCGGTTCTGGGAAAGATTATTCGGCTTAAAAACCTGACACAGTATTCTCCTCACCTTCTCTTCCTCCTGAACTGATTGACATGTGCTGATCTGAGCAACTGTGTGACAGTTTCAGACGACAAGAGGCGCAGGAGGAAGAGCAGCTCTCACTTCAGCGAGGCCAGGAAGCGTGGACGCACCATGTTGTACCAGCTTACCAGCCAGTTCTCGAGGGGAGGCAAAAGAGAAGTCAACTTGGGTGGTGTGAGTACTTTTCCCACTCTTGCATACTTCCTTTTCGGTTTTGATGGTATTTTTATGTGTGCCCTGACCTCTACGAAAATAAACAGGAGTTACTCAGACATGCAGCACCCTCAATCTTGAGCTTGAATTATTAATGTTAATATCTAAAAGATGAGTTTTTAGGAAGACAATATATGAGGGAAGTCTTGACCCAGATTTCCAGAGTGTGGCTTATCTCTGGAAAATTCATCAGATGGGTTTACTATTTTAAGTCTCCTGGGTGATTTTAATCTTGCTTCTGTTGCTTTTATTTGCATGGAGGCTATTGTTTGGTCGCTTTATGTGGACAAATAGCAAGGTCACTGTGGCAGCAGAGGCTACAGGGAGGCACACAGTGGTTGTCACTGATGGTGAGGTGTTATTGGTCAGAGGGGAAGCTGGGTGTATCATCATCATCACTTTTGTTTGGGACTGTCTGGACATGCCAACACCTTGCCATGGAGCTCTGTCATATAGGTCATTATGTCAACAGTATGCTCTCTTAAAGGGATAGCTCCGATTTGTTTGGGGTGGGGTTGTGCCATAGTTTGTGTTAACTGCACTAGCTGGCGGTTGGCAGGATAACCACCATGGAAGCGAAGCAATGTTCTGCTGTGGACGGGAGCAGCAGCAAAATGTATTTTAGACAGGTAAAAAATCAATATCAGTTTAAGCGTACACTATATTAAGAATATTTTCACCACTTTGTCTGAGCATCAGACGACCTGACGGGTAACTGAAGTTATCCCTAAGCCACCAGACTCCACTGACAAAACAGTGGTTTTACCCTGCAGAACACGGTGTTGCTGGTCTGGTTGTGAGACTTTGGTGTTTCAAAAGGTCAGTTCAGATTCACCAACCCTGTTCCCTAGAAATTACTTTTGTACATTACTAAATGTCTTTCATAATTACGTTGTTGTTGTAATGAGACATTACATTCATGTACTGCGTAGGTGTCACAAGGCAACACATTCTCACGCCGACCTCGTCACATATTGACTTTTGGTTATGGACTTTCCACGCTCACATACGACGTGAAAGTTACCCTGGGTGCGTTTGTTGTTGACGTTCTGGGAAGCTGTGTCAAGTTCTGCCTGTTACATGCATTAGGCCCTTTTCCACTGCAGGAACTTCGGGGTAATTTTATGGGGCCGTTGGTGCATGTCTCCACCACAGGAACCGCCCCCGAAGGACAGAGTTCCGGGACTTTTACAGGGGCTAAACAAGTCCCTGCCTCGGAGTAGGTACTTAGAACGGCCCCGAAAAACTCCTGGGTGGGGCTTGGGGTTTACTTGATGCTGATTGGATATACTCAAGGCGGGATGTGACATCAACAGAAAGCGACAAAATAGCCAGCATTTTTAAAATTCAGCAGACGAGGAGTCGCATTTTTAAAAGGAGTCATAAGAAGACTCCACCCTCTTAGTGGAGACATGGCGGTTGAGAGGGCCGAGCAAGAGGACGTTCCTGTAAAGTTCCTGCCCCCCAAATAGTACCAGGAACTTCTTCAGTGGAAACGGGCCTATCGTCTTCTTTCAAAATACAGGTGGCTGTTGATGATTGCTGATCCATGAAGTGCAGCACCTTGACACTAGAACCCCAGGGTCGTGTCCGGACTCGTGTCTTAGGTTCAGGCAAATAAAGCACTTTGGTTAAGTTTAGGGAAAGATCCTGATTTTGGTTGAATGTTAATAAAAAAATAATAATTCAAAAAATCATGCTTTAATCACTACAAGTGTGCACTGTATTGCAAGGTTGCCTACTCTGGGACAAATCAACTTAAATTCATTTCTGAATGTTTTGCTGATACGTTCAGTATCAACACTTTTGCAACATGCTAGATGCGTTAATTAGCAACATATCCTCATCATATTAATAGAAAACGTTATTTGCTCAGAATTACATTTCCCTCAAAACCTATTTGCTGTTTCAAATTAGTTGTGTATGAACATAATTTCTAGGAGACAGAGCTGAAGTTAATAACACAAAAGACCTAACCAACTAAGGCAGCTGCTGTGTTCAGCACAACCTAGTCTCACTCCGAAGTCATCGAAATGCAGCACTTGGGCAGTGACTTGCGGCATCAGACACTGAGAAAATAGCTGTCCTCTAATGTCGACATGATATGTGGCTGGATGTAGATATAGTTTAACAGCACCCAGTGGCATCAGTGGGAAACACGGCAGGCCAAGAACGAAAGTTAAGACAGCAAAAGTCCAAGTAGGACGGGTGGTGGACGGATCCCACAAACACAAAGTGGCACTCAGGAAAGCGATGTTTGCATCCCGTAAGATTATAAAGCCAAACCCTGTTCTTTTTTCCTAAACCTAACCACGTGTTTTTTTAATCGTTAAAGGAAAAAAAACAGCAATTCGTAGAGACTGTATGTAAACGTTAAATTTCCTGTGAAAACAGAAGTGTATCTTGAAAGAAGACAACGCATGTAACAGGCGGAAGTTGACAGCATCCGAGAACATCAACAACCAGCGCACCCAGGATACCTTGCACGTCGTATCTGGACGTGGAAAGTCCATGACCAAACATCAATATATGACGAGGTTAGAGTGAGAGGTAAAATTACTATTTTTGTCAAGGAAATGGTGCCTCTGAAGAGATGGATGGATATATATAGATAGATAGATACAGATGGATGCAATGGCTTTGGGTTGCCTGTCGGAAGGGGCTGTCTGACGGCAAGGTAAAGCTGTAAAAATACTCTAAATATAGTGTACACTTAAACTGATATTGATTTTTTTAGCTGTCTAAACTACGTTTTGCTGCTTCCCCAAACTGGGGGTGTGCTGACCGCCATCTACTCAGGGTAATACTCTCACTATGAATAAGTACATCCATTAACCCCACTACAAAAAATCTGACCATCCCTTTAAATGACCTTTAGGATTAGGTCAAGAGAGGCTGTTCTGTCTTCATGCTTCAACACATTATCATTTATATGTACAACCTGTTGGGTAATGTATGGGTGTGGGATAAAACAGGCTCACTCCATATGGATTTCAAATGTTTTTCAGATAAGTGTGTCATTTTGCCCATGCAGTTGCTTGCCTTTCAAGTGTGTTTCAAGGACCTTAAGAGGCCATTTGTTGTGGTGAAATAGACCCTAGCCATGATCTGTTTCATCGCCACTTGTCTTACACAACAAAGGCCTTCGTAGGCTTTGAATAATAAAGTCGCGCTACACTCCGAGCAAATGTTATTCATGAGAACAAGCTCCTGTTTTGCTCTCAGATACCAAACGGGAGCAGTTTTTTTAGCGGAGCACCATTTTGAGATAATCCCGCTCCCTCCCTGCAGAGGCTCAGTTACCAACTGGGTCTGTACTCAAACCTGTCCTTCACAATGTGGCGTTTCATCCCAGGGGGCTAAAAGCAATTCAGAGCGTTTCAGGGGTAAATTAAAATGTAAAAAAAGTTGAAAACCTGTGAGACATGTGTGATTCAAGTGGCTAATATTAGCATTTCAAAATGGAAAAACATGGGACAAAAGGCTGTTGTGTACTTTTTGGAGAGGTGCATTTAGCACTTTAACTTTTAATGGCAATGGTAATGGTGTGCCCTTTACTTGACACCAAATTTTGAGCTGCTCTTCCTTAGTGCTGGTACATTGCTAAAACCTGCAAAAACAGGATGAGAATCTGATATGAAATTTGCCATTTGGACAATGAAACATGTTCTAATTTTTCAATGTTTGGCCAAATTTGTCAAATCCCGATCATAACATAAAGAAAAAATTGTGAAAGTCAGACACAGTTTTTCCAGAATGAAGAAAAGAAAGCATTTTATTTCTAATTTAATCCCATTTATATTAGAAACTATATGTTTAACAGTTGTTATAGGGGCCCAAAGGACACGACATTTACTTTATAATGCAGATGTTGGAATTTTTAGTGTTGACATGATCCATTGATTAATTGATTGACAGAAATGAATTGTTTAAATAATTTATTAAAAAAGTATTTCACTGCTGGACAGATGGTCATTTAATAAAATCAGGCTGTCTTTGCAGCAGAAAGATGCAAATACTTTTGAAGTGAGTGCTATATGACCAGATAAAGCAGAGGAAAAGGACTGTGGCGTTCGCTTTTGCTCAAGAGGTAGAAAACCTACACCTACTAGAATACACTGTGCGGCACCAGACCAATACGTGCTCCCGCTGCTGGGTGACATTATGCGAGCTTATCTGTTTTGAGACTGGAAACAATATGGCAGCTGGCTGGTCACAAACGATCTTATACTACAGTTTAACAGTAAGAGTGAGAAGTAGGCAACACAGTAACGGAATCTTGGTTTATATTTGATCAGCACTGCCAAGATTTACAGTTTGATTGTAGTTTGAGAGAGTGGGGCAGCTCTCTGAATCTGCTTCTATACTCTTTGTGTCAGTGTTGGCGGGCAAACAAAATAGTGAGAGTACAATTTGTAGTTTGAGCAGCAGCCGTAGGACCATGGATGTGTAAAGAGAACTGGATCAGATTTTTGAAAGCTTGCACCCAACCATGCCCGTAAGCCTCAGTTCCAGAACCGACCAGTTACCTGTCATTATGTCTAAGTCAAACCTGTACCTAGGCTGACCAAACGTCCTCTTTTGCCCGGACATGTCCATTTTTGACGTCCTGTCCGGGGCGTCCGGGGGGTGTTTATAAATTGATGATAATGTCCGGTTTTCTTTGTGTGTGTGTGTGTGTGTGTGTGTGTGTGTGTGTGTGAATGGGTTAGAGTGCGGCACGGGCTGCATATTTCTGTCCGAACCCGAACCGAGCCCGACATTATTTAATGACTAAAGCACTGAGTTTGTGTCACACAGTTGTTATGGTTACAAGCTATTTAACAGACCGGGCGTGCGCCGTGGGTGCTCCGCGGAGAGGGAGACCTCCATGTTTGAGACGGGAGCGGGAGGCGGGAGGTCCGAGGCTTCCAGCGAGAGGAGAGGGAGAAATGTTACAAAATAAGATAAAATAGGAAAAA